GCGGGCAGCGGGCACAGCCGCCCGGCCATGCAGCGCGCGGGAAGGGGTGAGGCAGAGCATGGGCTACGTGCCTGGGGGCATAAATGGGTTTGAGTAGGGCTGGGGGGGCCGAGCTGGAGCTGGAAGAAGGGGGGGGAAGGAGGAAGGGGCAGGGGGTGTCAGCCTGGCTCGCTCCCCCTTACCAGCAGTTTCCCAGCAGGCCCTGCAGGATGTCCGAGGGCCTGGGTGTCCGGAACACCGACCACTTCACTGACCGGTCCTTGAAGATGCTGCAGTTGATTTCGTGGGGCCGCAGCCACTGCTTGACCCGCTGCTGCACACTGTCACCTTCCGGGAACCCCACGGACTTGGGCCCAGGGGGGAAACTGTCATCTACAAAATTCACTTTGTTCTGTGGGAGCAAAAGGCAAGGAGAGCATCAGCTGGGGCCTCTTGGGACTGGCTGGGCACAGGGAGCTCCCCAGTGCCCCCTCAAGAGTGAGAGCAGAACTCCCAGCCCCCCCACCCGGCCTGGACAGACCCTTCCCAGCACTGCAGGGCAGCAGGGCCGGGAGAGGTGTCTGCAGAGCTGGGAGAGGTGTCTGCTGGCAGCAGCAGGGATGGTTTTTGTGCTTCAGGTCCAGTGTTCAGCCCTGCCAGGGCCAGCTCACCTCTCCAGCCTCAAGCTCCAGAACGAGACTCCAATCTGCCTTTTCCTGTTTCACAGGAGCCTCCCTGGGCAGGGATTGTCTCACACCTTGTGCTGGTGCTAAAAGCTGGGCCGTGGGGGGCCTTGGCTGCCTCTAGAAGTGGCAAAGCCTGCAAACAGCAACCCTGCGAGGAGCCACCTGGCAAAGCAAACACTCCTCAAGCCGAGCCCTGTCCCTGCTCTGGAAGGGACACGCTGGGCTTGGCAGTCCCGTGCCAACCCCCAGGCACAACCATGGGGGACGTGAGGGGCAGCTTTCACAACTGGATTCAGCCAGACAAGCAATTCCAGAGGGAGGGTATCCCAGGTTGGAGCCCTCCTGCAATAGCTGCTGTGCAATAAATAAATAGGATGGATGGAAGGGCAGGTGATCCCGGAGGCATCACCCACATGGATGGTAACACACAACACCAACTGGAGAAGGGCAGCTTTTTCAGACAGTCTAACAAGGGGTGAAATAAGAACAGGTGTTTCTTTGTTATTGTTAATTAAATTAAATTAAATTCTTTCAGTAAAAGCTGGCTCTCATTTAAATTAGCTTTATGCACACCAAACTGGTAGTTGTCCTCCTCTTTTGTGGCAATGCTATGTGAATGCTTCCTTTGTGGGGCCTCAATTAGCACCTCCAGCTTCTCTCTTGCAGAGGGGTGTTTTTCAACTCATAGCTGTCATGTCCCACGGCGTGCTGCTCTCTCAGGGGAACATCTGCTCCCTGCAGCTGACGAGAAGCCACCTCTGCCAGCAGCCTCATCTCATCACATCCTGGCCTCACTCGGCCCTCTGGGCTCCTACACGGCCCTCTGGGCTGCTCAGGAACCTGCTGTGCAGGGCCACACGGACACAAGGGAGGGGATTCTCCCCTCTACTCTGCCCTCCTGAGACCCCACCTAATACTGTGTCCAGCTCTTCAGGACTCAGCACAAGAAAGATGTGGAGCTTTTAGAGCAGGTCCAGAGGAGACTACAAAGATGCTCCAAGGGCCGGAGCCCCTCTGCTCTGGAGACAGGCTGGCAGAGCTGGGGGTGCTCACCTGGAGAAGAGAAGGCTCCAGGGAGACCTGAGAGCCCCTTCCAGTACTTGAAGGGTGCTTATAAATAAGAGGGCAGGTAGTGATAAGACAAGGGAGAACAGTTTTAAACTAAAAGAGGAGAGATTTAGGTTAGCTATTAGGAGAAGATTCTTCCCTGTGAGGGTGGGGAGGCCCTGGCACAGGTTACCCACAGAAGCTGTGGCTGCCCCATCACTGGAAGTGTCCAAGGCCAGGTTGGACGGGGCTTGGAGCAACCTGGGCTAGTGGAAGGTGTCCCTGCCCATGGCAGGGGGTGGAACGAGATGGGCTTTAAGGTCCCTTCCAACCCAAACCATTCTGTGATTCTGGTGGAAGAGGTCAGCTCTGCTCTCTCCCAAGACTGAAGAGAAAGGGTAAAGCTAATAAGGGGACCACACACTGAGAAGAGCTGGAACAGGCACCTCTGGAATAACAGAGGAGGGAAAGCCCACTGCAGGAGCTCGACCAGAAATCCTGACAGGGAGCAGCATGGGCTGCTCCACATGACATGGGGCAGGGGGACAACAGGCAGAGGAGAACTTGGCCAGCCTGACTCTCCTCTGGGGAAAGGATGAACAGCCTGGGAACTACTGGGACAGAAGGAAGCTTGGAAGCTGCCTCACACGCTGGCCTCTACAGAAACATTGGTGGGAGGCTGCAGGGACACTGGGAGCAGAGCAGGTATGAGGGTGGGAGCAGCACTGTCCCCCCACTGCTGCCAGGCCTCCCTTGGACTGCAGAGACTCCTCTAAACAGTGTCAGAGTACAGCAGAGATTCAGTTTGAGGGGGATTTTTGGGGGATAGCCCACGCTGATCTAACAGCACAAGGGGCTCAGCCAAGGCTCTGACCCAGCAGGATGGGGCAAGGCAGGCTCCCCTTCCTGGCAGTGCCAAGCTGCTAATTCAGCCTAGCCATCATCATGATTCATCCTTCAGGCCTGATTCCTGAAGTAACAGATGTTCCCTGCCTACAAAAGAGGTTATTCACTTGCTTAAAAGAAGGGGATAAGCAGAATCTGGGTCTCTCTGCTATAAAGACACCCACGCCTGTTAGCATGGACATGGAGCAATTTTAAAAGCCCAGAACCCCAAAACAGGATCATTGTCAGAGTTTCCCCCCAAGCCAAATATCTCTTGTCCCTGGACTGTGCAGTGGAGACACAGTCATGGACATGCTTCTCAGACCAGGCAGACAAATCCTTGTCTGCACGTCAAAATGGGACTGCAACTCCCTTTCCATCTGGTCCAGAAGAGCTGGAGGCTTCCCCCAGAAGGAGGCCAGAGAAAGCAGCATTCACAGGAGCATCTAATGCCACTCAGGGAAAAAATGGGGCCATCAGAACTGTGTTTGAGGCTGAAACCCAACTGACTGAGCCAGACATTTCACAGTGGGAGGGGAGGTACTGGCACACACTCCTGAGACCCTCGACTGGAGCCAGGCTACAGCCAAACCTCAGCTGGCCTGCCCAGAACACGGGGGAGCCACTTGTGCTGCACCAGTGCATTCACAACACCCAAACCAAGAGTGCCAAGGCCCAGCTCGTGGCTCTTAAACACCTGCAGTTGCTGGCAGTGGTACCAGTTCCTCTGCCTGCACCCCTGCCTGTGCCCTGAGTTCCTGCCTGCTGCACCCCAGACTTCTTGCATCCACAGGTCACAGCTGCTGCCCACAGACAGTGGTGCCACCAACAAGCCTGGGCACACTCTTCCCCAGCCTTCCCCACTCTTGGAACTGTATGACCACATCAGGGTGTCCCTTCATCCCAGATGTTCTCTCTCATTGATTTAAAATATCACGAGGTTTCAGAGTTAACAGGTTTAGCACTAGGTTTTAGACTTCCTCATCCTTGGACCAGGAATGGACTGTATGGGTTGTCTTCACTCCAGAAATTATTCTGCACCAACATAAAATACGACATTTCAGTGTTAACAACCAGCACCCAGCTGCTGCAGGTGAATATCTCCTCTGGAACCCCAGACACAGAGGGTCCCTGTGCCAGGCAATGCTCCAGACCCACGGGGGAGGCACAAAGGGGTCCCCCCACCAAGTGAAAGCAGGAGCAAGGCTCGCTCAGCCAGGACTCACCTCCCGGCAGAAGGTCACGATGTTTTCCCACAGGGCTTTGGCCTCCCCCTCGTCCGTCTGCCGCCTCTTCTCCACGTGCATGCTCTCCCTCCTCTTGAGGGGCTTGAGGCCCTTGCGCTGGGTGATGTACTGCTGGGGGGTGTGGCAGGCCCCGCAGTGCTTGGCCTTGCCCTCGTTGAGCAGGGTGCAGGCGGGACAGGCCCACTGGCCCGGCCTGTCCTGCCCGCCGGGCAGCGGGGACGGGAAGAGCCGGGCAACCTTGCGGGCGGACGGGGCCTTGGACAGCCGGCAGAACAGCCGCCCCTGTCCGCGCAGTCGGGGCAGCGCGGGGCCGGCTCTCCCGGCGGGCCGTGCTCCTGGAAGCCGTGCAGCTTGGAGGAGCCACACACCTTGCACTTCTGCGCCTGGGTGGGGTTCTTGAGGGTGCACTTGGAGCAGGACCAGGTGGTGAAGTCGGGGCTGGAGGGGCTGCACGGGGTGAACCTCACCGAGTCGCCCACCACGTTGATGGTGTCGCTGCCCTTCTGGGTGCTGCAAACCTCGCACTTGCCGGCCCCGGCCGAGTTGAGCAGGGAGCAGGAGCTGCACTTCCAGTGGGACGGGCTGACCTCCATCTCCTCCTCCAGCACGCTCAGCCGCTTGTTGGACAGCAGCTCTGGGAAGCGGGCGGCGGGGGCGGCCCTGGCCTGGCTCTGGGGAGAGCCCTTCTGCCCCACGGCGCTCGGGGCCGCAGGCTGGGGGGCTTCAGGGCCTGGCATCTGCAGCTGGGGGGGCACCTCCCGCCGGCTTCGGGGCACAGGGTTGTTCTGCAGCCCCGGGGAGAAAGGGCTGAAGGGTGGTATCTTCTGGGCCTCTTGTTCCATAGCCACGGGGCCCTGGGTGGCCGCGGCATCACCATCGGAGATCTCTGCAGAGACTGAAGGCTGTGGGGTGGAGGGGACCACGTGGAACCCGGCCGGGGTGATGACTTCAGGGACGACCAGCGCCTCTGGGGGGATCTTGGGCAGGGAGAGCTTGCGTGGGCCCCCACAGGCGGAGCAGGAGTTGGCCACGGGCGTGTTGTGCAGGGTGCAGCGCTGGCAGGCCCAGCCGCTCTCCAGCTCCGCTTCATCGGGGCTCTTCCCCTCCGAGTCCTCACTGCTGCTTTCTGCCTTGGCAGCCTCCTCCTTGGACGTGCCCTTGGGCTCCACGAGCACGGCGGGCTTGGGCAAGATGCCGTTGATGACGGGCAAGGGGGAGCCACTAGGCCCTGGCTCGGGGGTGAAGCCACACACCTCACAGGTCTCCTTGCCCAGAAAGTTCCTGAAGGTGCAGCGGGCACAGGCCCATTTCTGTTCCTCCACGCTGAGCCGCAGGATGTGGTTGAGGTCGGGTTTCTGACGAGGGGCTTCGCAGATGGAGCACTGCCGCTGGCCCACGGGGTTCAAGAAGGTGCAGCGGGTGCAGGACCACTCACGGACAGCAGCCATGGAGCCGGGAGAGTGGGAGTGGCTGCAAGGAAGAAGATGACAGTGTGAGGCCAAGGCCATGGCCATAGTCAGGACCTTGCTTCCAGGAAGAGAACAACCAGCAGTCCAGTCACTGTTCTCCAGGCACCTGTTCCTCTGGCATTGACAAATTCTCCAAGTGCATGGCAATGCACCGGCTTTCACCCAAAACACTTGAGGGAGGGCACCCAAGCAGCCCACTGATCCTGCTCTCATGGTGGGGGTGTGCCCCAGTGAGCACACACACCATCTCTGTACTCAGCCTCAGCAACTTTGTGTGTCTGCAGATCATCTGTAACTCTCTGGAGTTAGAGTGACACCCTGCTTTGCCTTTTTGCTGTTCCCAGCATCAATTCTTTCCTCCATCTCTACTCCAGCCCAACTCTGTCTCACTTTCTGTTCCTATCTCCCTCCTGTCCTTTCAGCTCCCCACCACAGGCATATCACTCATCCACACTGGAATGTTATCCCACACCAGACACCACCAAGCCAAGAAAGGCAGGTTGTGGTGTACAGAGGTGCTTCTACCTGGCTACAAGTTTCAGGGCCAGAAGCCTGGCCAACCAGCCCAGGAGCAGCAGCTGAAGCTGGTCGTGGTGCACCGGTGCCAGGACAGCTCATCAGCAGCTTCCCAGCTCCAGCTGCCTCCCCACTTACCTGGGAAGCACAGAGGCCACAGAGCCCTGCAGTTAACACCAGCCCTCAGTTTAAACCTCCAATGCTGCCTGGGAATGCCGGAAACCCTGCTGGGAGAACAGGCCCAACGTGCGCCCAAGCCACCTCTTCCCAGGGCAGGAAGTCACAGTTTTGTTTTCTGGGTAGGTTCAATTTTCAGAAAGTGAAGCACAGCAGCAGCACCAGCTCCAGGGGCCACAGCAACCTCTGGGTTGCAGGGAGCAGCCCTCCCAGTGCTGCCACATGTGCACACACTCGGAGAACCACAGAAGGAATCCCAGCCCTGCATGGTGCCCTTTGTCCCTTGCTCGGGGTCATTTCCTGGAGCTTGGAGCAAAGGCGGGGCTGAAGCAGAGCTTTTTGCTTCTTCCTCCTCCACACAAGGAACAGCTCTCCCTCAGGTAAAAGTGCAGCACGAGCCCAGAGCCCTTCCTCCGTGCACTCCTGCTCCCAGACAACGTGGTTGAACCCAACCTCGAACCCAACCTCCAGGCCAGCTGTGCTTCTCTCCAGCAGAGCAGGTCCCCTTCCAACCCCTTCTACCCTGCTCTGCTTGCCTGAGGTTATGGACAGGGCCAAGTCTGCAGGAGAAGCCACCAAGTCCACCCCATGCCCTCAGCTCTTCCTGGGAACAGCAAATTCAGGCCTTCACAGACCAAGGAAATATCAGCCTAAACCATGGGAGCTGCACCTCATGGGCTCACCATGGGCTTCCTCTCCAGCATCCCTTCAACAATCCAGTTCAATCACCATGCTGGCTGGAACAAAGAAGGGAAGGAGAACATTTAATGCCACAGAGGGCAGGTGCAGAAAGCTCCAAGATGCCCATGGAAGGACCTGGGTCCTGGTTGGTCTCCAGAGTCCCCAGTAGCAGCACCTGCACATCCAGCTTCCCAAGGCACTGAGCAGACTGCAATGCAGCAGCAGGGTCTGGAGGGGACAGAGGATGCAGCCAGAACCCCCATGGGGAAGAGGATGGTGACTCTCCCTTTGGCTGCTAGACGAGAAACTCTCCGGGGAACACTCCAGCAGAAGAAGCAATCCAACCACATTTTCAGACCACACTCTACGGCCACTGGAAGAGCAGCTCTGCCTCACAGAGATCAGATATAACCTTCATCTCCCTTCTTAAATCAAACACTTCTCTAAATAAAGCCTGAAATCAAGAAATCCATTTTATTGCAAGAGAGAGCTTGAAAATTCATTCTGGTTCATATACCGTGCCTGCATCGTTTGAACTTTGCAAGGTATTTATTTACTGGAGTTATTCCCAGCTAAGAGAAATACAAACATTGATTTTTCTGCCTCAAGTCCTACAGCTGAGAGCCACTGCACATAGCTCTCCTGTGTGGCAGCACCCTGCCCACAAGGACTGAAAGGGAGATCATTCCTCAAGCAGAGAAGGAGAAGGAGCTCCGTGCCCGGCTCCAGCAGCAAATGGGGCCACGAAGGGCACTGTGATCCTGTCACATCCATTTGTCTTACTGGGTGAGGTCCATCAAACCACAGGCATCAGCAAAAGGCAAGTGAAGCCTGTCAGCAATCTGTGCCATCCATGGCCATCCTCCTGCAGCATTCCATGCTGTTCCCCACCATACACTGTGCTGCCTCCAAAAAACCCACCTCTAAATGCAGATGCCACAGTGCTTCCAGAGGGTCTGGACATCCAGCCACCAACCCTCCTGCTGCACACATCCCTTTCACACACACTGGTCCTACCCAGCAGGCAAAGGCTCCTGGCAGTGCCACCACAGGACCATGGAAAGAATCACTTTATCCCTTCCCATAGAGAAGGGAAAACCCAGGATAACCTAAAAGGCAGAAGTACCACACGAGGGGACAGTGGGATGAGCTGCATCACCAGACTTGTTTGATGTGGTGTCAGGGATGATCTGCAGGCTCAGGAAAGGCAGCATCATTTCACTTGGCCAGGCAGGATACTCAGGCTCAGCAGCAGGAAGAGAGGCAGGAGCCAGGACACTGCAGTGCTCTCCTCTAAGCTGTGACACTCCTGGGCTACACTGTCCCCCTCCTGGTCCCTCCTCTCCCCCCATGCCACAGGAGTTGGCTCCTAACACTGCCCAACTGCTGCTGAGATTTCCACCTACTTGACTTTCTCAGGAAAACAAGCCTTCCAGAAAGGCCATCAGCTCTTCCCTCCAAGGTCCTGCAGTGGCCAGGCCACCAGTGTGACAAGCTTTGGCAGGAGACTTCCCTGCCTGCTGTTGCACCATATCATGTTGCCCAGCAGCCACAGTTTTCCCTGAAAACTAGCAGGAAATGCATGGAATTGGGAGAGGACATGGGACACGAATCTTCAGCTGTCCCCCACAAGATACCAGTCCCCTAGACTTGGTGACCAGCCCACAGCCTGCTGCCCCCAGACTCCTGCTAGGGCTCATGGACAGTTCCAGTCCCTGCCTGGAACACCAGGCTTAAGTTAAAGGTCCAAAGATTCCAGGGGGACCAGGTTGGAACCTGTCTTTCCACAGTCCAACTCATATCACCACATGGTGGATCGTGGCAGCAGCCTCTGCCCCACAGCAACACCTTCCTCACAAACTCAACCCGCAGGAGAAACCCAACCACAGCCTGTCCACGCTCCGTACTTCTCCCTAAAAAGCCTGGTTGGCTCCTTTCCCAGCAGGCAAGTGAGGAAACAGGGTTGTGTGCAGCACCTATTCCCCAGGCCCATCTGCTGTGTGCTAACACACACTTGCTCTCCAGCCCCAGCAAACACAACTGAGATAAACAGCGCCTGCCACCTTCCCGGTGCCTGTGGGAGAGGAGCTCCTCCAAAACCAGCCCTGCAGTCACCCACCCACGGGAGGGCTGTTCTGGGGGACACTTCACTGGGAGCACGATGACACGAGGTCTCCACAGCCTGGCAGCAGGGAGCTGCTGGAGGCTCTTCTGGGCTGCACACAGCAAGGAAAGGGCAACAGTGGTACAACCCCACACCTCCAGCAGCACGGATGGGGCTGGATCCACACCTCCAGCAGCAGGGATGGGGCTGGATCCACACCTCCAGCAGCAGGGATGGGGTTGGATCCACACCTCCAGCAGCAGGGATGGGGCTGGATCCACAAGGCTGTGCTGCTCACAGCAGCAGCTCTCCCCAGCCCAGACAGGAGACATCAGCTGGCAGGAGGCAGCACCATGTTGGCAGGAGTGCCCCTACCCTGGCAATCACAGCAGTGTAATTATCATGCTTAAAAAATAATATAGAAGGTACTCAACCCAGCAGGCAGCTTTCAGCACGCTGAGCAGGTCCCAGGGAACCTCACTGCTCCAGGGATTAAGAAGGTTCCAGCTGGTCACCTTCCAAACCCACCTCAGGACAGTGATATCCCCCTCCCAGGGCTCTGCTGAGAGATGAGTCTGCTGAGCCCGAGTGTCCTTTTGCTACAGAGCCCTGGCTCCTGTGCAGCCATCAAACTGGCCAGGGGTGTCCACCACCTCTGGGTGCCACCTGGGACCAAAGACTTTTCTGAAGCAGGACAGAACAGGAAGGAACAGGGTAGGGAAGGAAACCAGGAAGTGCCCAAAAAGCTGCAGTTTGCGTTTTTCCTGCTGGCAAGGAGCTGGGGGTGTGCCAAGGCTGTGATGTGCAGCCGAGCTCCAGGGCAGGAGGTGGCTATCAGCCCTGGGCAGAAGCACCTTGGAACTGCCAGAGAACGGCTCGAGGTGACCTGGGCACCGGAGCGAGAGATCCCAGGGCTCTGCTGCAGAGCCCACATGGCAACAGGATTATAGGAGCCTGTGTCAATCACACAGCAACAGAATCAGGCTGTTTCTTTAAATAAAACTCCCTACCAGAGCAGCTAAAGCCTTAAAACTTACTGCTTCAGTTCTCCCCTGCAATAAATAAACAAATAAATAAAAAATCAATTGTTCCAGTCAGCAATCCCAACCCTGAGCTCTCTGACACAGAACACATCCCAGCAAAATCCTCATCTGACAAATGCAGGAAAAAGCACTACAGCTTTGTGAAGGAAAAGAAAAATCACCAAAAAAATCTAAACAAAACCCTGCCCCAATTGAATCCCTTCCCCTCCTCCCCATCCAGCTGACCATTAACATCTCCAATTTAATTTTCTTTCAACAGCACTGCAAACCCTGACCTAAGAGAGGACTGCTGAGCCTTCTCCCGCACGGACCTACCACATCTCCAGAGCAGAAGCCCCCCGTGCCCGTGCAGGGAGGGGTGCAGGAGGTCAGGAAGCACACGGCATTGCTCTGCCAGTTGGGCTGTGAGGAGGACACGTGGGTTGGGCTCATGAAGCCGGGCAAGGAGATGCTGTTGGCTGAGCTGACTCACTCTTGCAG